GTTATGTTGAACCCCCGTACAAAGGTTGCTGCCTAACCATGTGGTTTGTAATTTCATATACACTGTGTATGTGCATGTTTTTGTAACCCACAGAATATGCAATGATTTTGAGAAATAACAAGAACTGAAATCAAGCAAGAATAACATTTTCGGTAACAATCGGACAAATCTAAGATTTGAGAGAAAACTTCTAATCACATGGCCTCCTTTGAATCTAATGATTGGAAACAAAGTTCACCTGTTTCAACCAAGTAACTACATATAATATAATTTTTAATGAATTAAGAAGATTTAATTGATGAGTTTTATTTTATAAGAGCAGTGTTAACTCATGAAAAGTTCATAGTTTCATCTTTATGACTCCAGCCTAAAGTCTTAAAATTGACCTTCAAACAAACTTGGGTCTCCAAGGCAGTGCATATCTGACCACCCTTAGTTTATCATCAAATGATTTTTTAAATATCATTAATCTTATTTTTCATACTTTTGCATGCAGTGAAATCACTGTTCTGCTGGCATTAACCCATGATAGATTATTAAATATTAGTTTAAAAATGTTGATTTCAAATTACTTGGGGAAACTTGGCTTTAAATAAGGATAATGATTAGATACTGAGCTCATCATTGAGATCATTAAGATTCTAATACAAGCAGTTTCCGCAGGTATCCAAACTCATAGAAAATTGCCTGGCAATGACACAACTTTTATACTTGGGGTATCATTGCTTTAATATGGTACATATCATTAACGGGGGTTTGCCTTTCATTGTGTTTTAAAATGTTGCCTTTAAAGTCACCTCTTTATAGTGAATGTATCATATGTAACAAATCCGGAACTCTGTACGATATGACATTGAAGTTTCTTTTTGTTACAAGCAATTAACAGCTTTGTAAGTTTTGTAAATGATTGACTTTAATGAACAATGACATGTATACAATGACAATCAAACATCGCAATTGTTTGTACATTTACATGTTTATCTCCACTTATGAGGGTAACAGTCACATTATTTACAAATACTAACAATATGTTATCTTACTATATAGTAATACGAGTATATACCATCAGGTTCAAATGTGGGTAATAAAGACTTAAAATTGACATTAATATGAATTGCTTTTATTGGTGTTTCACTTGATCTAGGGCAACTGTATGGCAGTCGTAGCTTCCAAAAATCAAGAGAAATATGCAGCATAAAATATAGGGATAACCAGTATAATGTAGATTTTCTTTATCAATTTTTTGAAGCTGTGGCTGCTGTATGGCTGCCTTAGAGCAAATTCATTAGAAGATAGATGAAAATCTAAGTTAGACATTTCATTTCAATTTGAAATCAAATATGAAATGTGATTTAGGGATTTTGATAAAAATGACCAAACACTGTCTGTAATTAATTTGCTTATATGATAAGATAAGATGACACCTACAAATAATGGAATGTTGAATTTGGCACTCACAATGTAAATGACAAACATGGTTCAAAATATGTACTCAGTTATAATGTGTAGCAACGTGAACTACTGTACTTATAAGAGGAATGCATTGTTAGGTAGAACGATGGACCCTGAGGGCCAGAGCTAAGGAGATGACGCTCTCATTTGAAAAAGCGAAATAAAATCTTTGAAAAGGGTAAGCGCCTATCTAAAAAGAAAATAATTCATAGGGATTTGGATTTCATAAAGCGTACATTACTTATCCTTGTTCCATTGGTAGATTAAATTCCTACCATTGGAAAGTATTGTGAATGAAAAATATTGACTTTGGAAATCAGGGTGTCAAATCCAAAAGTTCACTGTATCTGCCTGAGTTAAACATTTTCAAAGTACATTCTCTCTGCAAACCTGGATGAAATTTTGAATATGATATTCAGAGCATTTTGTCATTGAACTGGTCGATTGCTCTTGAAACTCATGTCATATAATCGTTATACTATATTCCTTGAGACATATCAAATGCCTCAATAGATCAAGATGTTAGCCCGATTCAACAAAACATTTTTCAGAAAAGAGCATTCTGTAAAGGTAATATTTACTCAATACACTTTCAATAAAATAAATTCTAATATAGTATGTATAAGGCCTTATAACAGATTGACAGCTCGACTAACAGTATGGTGCTGCAGTTGACAATGTGAATGACAACTCCCCTGACTTCTTACTGACCTGTTGGTAGTGTAAGTGCTGTAATATGATATATCACACTACAAGACCCAAACCTAGCAATAGATTGAATGTTTTCTTTCATTAACAGATTAATGGAAGTTTTACATCTGCTTCTAAGCTTATGAACTATATTTCAAGATTTAGAAAGTTAAGTGAAGTTTCATCCCTATCGTTAATTGCAATCTAAAGTCAGAACAATGTAATGTATTCTCATACTCTGATATATAGAGTTATATTTGTTAATTTGTGTTGCACCAAATATGCTGGTAAGGAAATTAGGTATCTCTTTTTGAGAAATCATGTGGGTATGAGTTTAGTATTAGTACATGTTAATTTCATCATTTATATGTCACAACTAAATGAACAAAAATAAGATGCTAGGAGAGGGTATAGTTTGTATATCAACTAGATTCCTATCTTATAAAATGCTTTAAATTGATATATTATGTATACAAGGATTACCTGGGTCATAACCGCCATATCTGAGATTATTATTGTTATAGCAATCATCCGCATATTTTTCACTTTGTATCTTCTGCCGAGCTTCTCTATTAGACTTCTTTCTCTCTTCCAGTCTCAAATCGCGAAATGACCATCGTCGCCAATTCTTCCTTGTTGGGGATTGCCGTATTGTTTTCTCATCATAAGTCCGAACCATTTTGAATTTTTTTTAGAAATCACTTTTTCCAATGGATAATCCTTTCCGTTAATCCCTTTGTATGTAAATTAGGTTAGTGATTATTCCATTATTTTGTAGTTTTATAAACACTACTGATGTTTACTGAGTTTGTACTATACACTACTATTCTGTTGTTTTCTTCCTTAATGCAATTGTAAAATCTTCAAACTTATCCAGCCAAAGTTTACTTATCGGATTTATCCTCAACTTAAATATGCACGCCTGCATACCACTTCTAACTACAGTAGTAGGCTACATTTGCATGAATTTTATGCATTAAAGTCACAAATGCTTGCTACTGGCGAGTGTCCAGTAATTTGTATCTTTTTACCTGTTTTTTACCTGACCAGGTATGCTTATTTTAGCTTGTTAAGCTCCCTGTGTGTATTCTAATAGGTGAAACTTCACCAATAAGTTGTTGGCTTGGTCCTCGATAAATCATGGAGTACTACCTGACAATTTACACTACATGTATTCAGGTATATAAACACCTGTTATCCATATTACAGGGCCAATTATAAAGACAGCAGGCCCTAAACATGGATGACTTAACATATAGGTACTGTCAACGATGCACTATAATAAACATCTCTTTAACCTTTTAAAGTATGTGTAATTTAAAAACACAGGTCTCAAACAAAATCATTAAGAAAGTGCTTTATCAATTAGATTTATTGTTTTAAAACTGTTAAGCTCAAGTATTAACCAATATGTGCAGACTTGAGATGAATTCAAATTAATATGTTACTTTGGGTGGAGTACTTCATTTTATATAGACACATGTCTAAATGTGCAGTACTTTATATAATGAAATAATTACATAGCAACATATTGAGATGCTATCATTATTCATTTTTAACAAACATCTGTTTTAATTTAAATAATGTCACATTACATTATATTACATTAAAGGGATACTTTAGAAACTTATTGTTATTTTGCCTCTTATGATGATGAGAGGCTAACTTCAACCTTATAGTTTTTGTATGTTATGTGTATTTCTCAGTTATCTCAGTTGCAAAAAGTTGTTTAAATAGCCAGATTTCACGTTTAAGGTCAATATGTCTTGTTTAAAGCTATATAAATTTCACATACTCTATTCACTATATAAACTGCTAAGCTATTGGCCATGATTTTAATTTAATCTCGCAATAAACTTCGTTTTATATGCTACCAAAATATGATAGTAATAAAGTGCAAAGAAATGGGCTATCCAGTTCAAATGTTACCCTTTGGAGGCACAGCTCCAAGCAGGACTTATCTTAAAACTTTCAAGTGTCCTGATTTTAGTGGTTGGGGGTTAACCAAAGTCTTGAAAAGTCCATAAATAAATATTAGGCGTAGGAGTGGTAGACATGGGATGAAAGACAATTTTAGAGGTCAGTTTACATAAGAGTAATTAGTGAGCCTTCTCAAAAATCTTGATAACTTTTCAAAATCAGTTGAACATTGACAATATTTAGCAGTGATTGCAACAGTATTAGTGTAACTGAGCAGAACAACCAGTTAAAATAAAAAAATTAAAAAAATTATCTTGCAACTGAATATTTATTTGTATTCAGGTGAGATTTTAACCTGGTTATCATATTTTTTTATCAGAATCGGAAAAATAAAATAAAATGAGCTAAGGAGAGTCTAGACTTTTTTAAGTTAAATAACTCTTGAAATTGTAAACTTATACTTAAAAGTATCACTTTAGTTTTGATATGTAAACAGCATTATAATAGTATCCCTCACCCATATAAGACAACATAAAAAACCTGTACAGTATAGTACTAAGCAACCCATTCTCCAGTATCGATTGGGAATACTGGTAATTAACCTGACTGGTGTTCTCATAGACAGGTCTTCATATATGAATGGTTAGTGCAACATGGAAATACCTAAAATAAGCTAAAAGATAGATCCTCCTTTAAACCTATACTTGGTCAAGTTGTTCCAACAGAGGGCAATAAGAACCCTAGCCCATTGAAACTCAAAGTTGAAACACCTGAGGAGTGGTTGCATAGAGACATGATACATAGTCTTGCATCATGGCCCTCTATTGCTCCCCATTTTTCAACTCTGAGGTGGGTAATAGAAAGGTTGAACTGACCAGACTGACGTAAGACTGCAACGTGCAATATTCACTGAAAATAACCACAAAATGACAACCTACCTCTCGATTTTTGCAACAGGGTTATGGTTGGGCTGAGACTGCTAGTGGACGGCAAATTAGTCGCAAACCTCCTCTCAAAAGTTGAACTGCTATTTGCATCTGGGGATTGTTGGGACTCTCGTCCATTTATTGCATTGGTTTCGATATATACATTTGAGTCCATGCTCGTATGAGTATCTCCATTAATGTTTAATTTGGTGTAGTTCTTACTACTGCTCCTAGGTGGCACTGAATGTAGTGACCCAGATATGGTTGCTGCGGCAGCTATGCGTTCCTCCTTTTCTGGGGGCTTCCATGCAAAACTTTCTTCAGGTTTTGGAGGAACCTGGAATATGTAACAATAAAATTAAAAGTAAAGAAATAGGTGAAAAGTCCCAACTTCATAATATATTTAAGCAATTATAGTTATTTGCAACTTTGAACAAAATTACATAGCTTCACTGGTGAAAAGCACAATGCACCCCATTTTACCATATTAGGAATCTCTTTCAACATCCCAGAATATTAGAAAAATTATAAAGGCACTAATCCTTTTTACCAACTATAGAATATCTCATTCTGATCTTTTTGTTTCTTTCATATCTACAATTTATAGATGATTCTTGATTTGACTCATTGTGCTAAAAACTTTTTCCAATGCCTATTACAAGTAGGTCACTATGAGCTGTATATATTTATCACAAATCATTTTCTCAATGTTTAAAAATTCCGCATTGTTACAAAATTCAATTCTGTTTCTGAGAACAATTCAAGATGAAGATCATCCACATCAATCAATCTAAAAATAACTTTTACTCTTCCATGCAGATCAAGAATTTGATTGACAGCTCTATATTTGGAAGTGAAATTGATGGCCTGTGTTAAAACTCCAAGGTCAAGCTGATCTGGTCACTCACTAAGACAATTTAGAAACAGATTTTCATTGAAATCGATCAATTCTATCTTTATATTTCTCTGTCAAAACATAGTTATAGAAAAATTTACCTTTCAAACCATTCTTGTTGATCTTAAATCAGTTTATTTGAGAGGTTTTGATCATGATTATTTTTGTATGAAAGGGAGATTTTGCAGAGTTTTGAAGGACTGTTTTGTCAAAGAATTTCATTAGAAACTGCAATATCCCAAGCTTCACAAGTTCAGGGTTTCATTTGAATTTGTTGTCTGATGGAGGCACCATTCATTTTCATGAGTTTCAATGACAAAATCAAATATCCTTAATTTCCTATAAATGTAATATTCTTTTACTCTACTCACAGGAGATTTTGATTTTTCTCGCTCAATTGCAGTTGTATCTAATTTGACTGGTTTGAATTCCTTCTTTGATCCACTGTCTCCTCCAGGCTTCCACACTTGAGCCATATCTTTAAATGGACTCCTAGAGTCCTCTATTTTTGTAGTGGGAGCTGGTTTCTCATGTTCTGGGGTAGGGGGCTTTGCGCCAGGGGTCCACACACCTGATGAAAGTATATCAAAGTTGTTTCAAAAAATCATAATGTAACCGATTGTGCTACAAGAGGAAAATAACATACTGCATCCAAAAAGCAAGACTAAACATCCCAATGTTATATTTAAATATTTTTATGACCAATTTACTTATTTTCACTACATATATACATATCTGTAGTTTGTCTCTTTGGAAGAAATTTTCAATGGCAATTGGCAGATATCTGTTTCATTCTCTGAGAAGGTATGTGCAGCTATTTTGAGGGAATTGCGTGTTGATTTCTGCGAATCCATGTGTACGAGCTTTAAACAGATGAACTCTATGTTTTTGCCATGATATAAATGTTCGTTGGGTTATATATATTTTACAAGTGGATCCAAGAGACCAAGTGGGCAAGTCCATTATTTTGTAGGGGTGGCAGGATATACACATATCAATTTCCACATACTCACATTGCCTTATTTAAGAAAACCTTCTAAAAGTTTAGTAGTCAATAAATATCAGATCTGTAAATTCCGAAATCAGAAGCGAATTCAATAAAAACCAGATTAGAATGCACAAATACCGGATCACAGATTTTTTCAATGAGTAGTCCATTTTCTCCACTTGGTCACTCTTAGATTGAGCCAAGTATTGGATGATTGGAGGCAGTTTTGATCAATTTTGCAAAGGGTTAATTTTATTCTCATCTGTCTCAACAAAACAGGAATATCCCAGAATTCATACAGTCATACTTCTCTTATGTAAACTATATCATTGATATAAAGCGTGGGAACATCTGATATGGTGTTCAATAGAGTAGAGTCATGTGTTCACTGGGCACAGATCTTCACTAAAGAGGTGTTCATTATGACAGTTTTACTGTACTGAATCAATCGCTGGGAATTCACTATATACAAAATCGAAATGTGTGTATCATGCCACCCCTGCAAAATAATTGACTCGCCCACTTGGTCTCTTGGATCCACTTGCAAAATATATATAACCTGTTCGTTGTTCACAAAATGTGTTCACTACAGAAAAGTAATCTAACATGAGATGTGACTGTTCTTTTCCCTATAAATTCCTATGAAAGGTTTTTGATAAGCAAAATGTTCAAAAGGTGTTCACTAGAGAGGTGTTCACTAACACAGGTTTTACGGTATTTTACCTGGTTTAGCAGTTAAACTGTTCATTATGGGTTTGTTCTCATCAGCTGCAAATATATAAGAAACACAAAATATTACGATAATTTGAATAAATTAACATTCTCAAAAATTTCAAGACTATCAAGAAAATGGGTAAATGAGAGCCCATAGCAGTAACAAAATCAGAAAGGAAAGATTAAATGATAATAATGTAAATCAGACTATAAAGATCAAAACAAAATCAGTTAAAATTCATATTTTTAAAGAAAGATTGAAATCAATAAAAGAAATCTACCTAAATCCCCAATCTGCAATTCTCTAACTCACAATACCATTTCAGGCTACAGAACAGTATTTTGATAAACAGTACAGTTAGGTACTGTTGCAGATTGGTTGTGTACAGGTACAAGAACAACTATTCTAAATATAATACAAATTATAAAAATTATAATATCCCATTTATCCAATTCAATTTCATTTTTTCAGTCTGTCAAATGAACTAAGTAAATGGTACATCATTCGAAATCATAGGAGATTTAGATGGATTTCTGTTGTTTAGATCAGGCCTACGTAGGTCTGTGAACGATGATTGGTTTTAGGGGGGTTTAAGGGTAGCTGGGGTTTCATTAGCAGTAGGCAACATGCGATTTTCACGAAATCTCCTGTTGTTTTAGGGACTTTTTCATGTTAAATTCATGATTTCCATTAATTTTTTCTGTTATTTTCATTTATTAGTGAAACCCCTGGGAAGGTTCGATATTTCCTGAGAGAATACATAGTTGTACAATAGAAATCCATCTGAGGAGGAGAATAAGAAAGTTAGACATAGGAACCTTCCTTCACTATCCCCTCCCCCATTCTAGAGAGAACCAGAAAGCACCACTTCTGAATTTCCCATAATCCTTTTATACAAAGATCAGACGTAAAAGAACAATCTGCCTATAATTGCTAATTTTGTTGAGTCTGGTCTTTGTGTTATGGGAACTTTGAAAGTGGACTTTTTGTGATGGTGAAGAAAGGAGGTCTAACATAAATAGAAACATAGATAACATTTTCTATCGAAAGAGGTAGGCAGGTGGAGGCAGTGGAGCATTGTGGGAGATAACATTCATTGCAGAGTGACACCTATTGGTGAAAGTGTATTCAGCCACCTATTGGTGAAAACAAACATAACTCAGCAAATAGCATTCCAGAAAATATATACCAAGATGTTTGCCTCACAAAAATTGCATCAAATCACATAAAGTCCATCAAGAATCAATCCTGAGAGCACCATCACACTAATTCTGTTATCATAGTATCATATTATACAAAGTTCTACAAAATATTATTTCATTAATCTCCACACATAAAGATAACATGGATACTTTCTTCATTATTAATTTTCAACACACAAAATACCAATAATATACAGGTAAAGTATATTAAATAAACAGTATTTAAATCAAGGGACGTTTTTCTATTCAAAGTTGATTGATAGTCTGACAGGACCTTCAACACATATGAATGAAATGTACTATACAATGGCATGTTCTAATCAGTGGACTGGCCCCAAGAAAAGATGGACTGGACTCTGGGCCATCTTTTAGACATTGCTACACAAAATTACTAAAAAGTGGACTTAACCCTCTATACTCCATTATGGGCCACAATTTGGGTATTCTGTAAGTATTTTGACTAAAAGATGGCCTCAAGCAATACATATCTAAAATTGAATTTAACTTATCAATATCATTATCCCAGCAAATGAAGTTCGATAGGGATGTCACGAAGCCCTCCATTTATCAAGTCCTTTTCTCAAGCACAATAAAAGATATGTGGATTTTTAAATATATTCCTATCAAATTAAAAATATGGAATTTAGAAGGTTTGACCACCAAGGGTCGAGCACAGACACACATAACATGAGTAGCGGGATGAGTAGACTGTGTTTTTCTAAAATATAGCTTTGTTACATGCAAGAGGAAGGCATTTTAGTGTAGATTGGAGAGCAGGGGCGTAGTCAGCTTTCAGTCAGGGGGTACAATCGCCAAATTTTCGGGTTTCAGTCAAGTGGGTGGATAATCGTGGCATAAGCAAGGCAAAACAAAAAAATAGATCTGTTTTGAGCTAGAAGCTTAAAAAGCATTTTAAAGCTATTTTCTTCCACTATCTAATGGTTCTATTTTTATTGGTTATGGAGGGGATGCGACCCATCACATTCCCCTCTGGCTATGGAGAGATTGTGTTACCCGTAAGCAATTCACTCACAAGGAATGGAATATTTTTTCATATAATATATTTGTTCTCTCATTAATATGCTACTGATCTCCAGATGGCACAAACGTGTACAATATGTCCATACCGATGGGTGGTCCTTGAGTTTTTATCCCCAATGCCCAATGCCTTTAATCAGTTGAAAATACAAGATTTTAGGTAAAAAAATCAAAATGGCAACATCAGCAAGAATGCCCCAAAACTAATCAGTTTGAGATTTTCATACAAAGAATCACATCTGAAAAATTGAATTCGATCTTTCAAATGGTTCATCTATAAACGTGGAGATAAGTCTTTGCACACAAGATTCAGGATGGAAGATCCAAAATGATCGCCTTATCATTTACCCAGAATGCTTAAAATCACATGGCAGTTGACATGGCAGATTGGTATTAAGTTAAAGTTCAGCATATATCCAAGTTTCAGTGTGATAATTTGGATCACTAGTCGAATTATGAAGCAAACAAGTGAATGTCTATGATCCCTGTATGTTCATGTATAACTCAGTAATACTATGTATGCCAGATAATCCATTTGAGCATCGCTATATAAAAAAAATTCATTAAATCCAGCAGCAGAAAAGACATGCTAACTACTGAACTATATTCATCATGTCCATGTACCCATTGTGTGAATTCAATATCAAGCGTGGTCATTTCCATAAAGATTATGAAGCATGTAAATTTGAGATTTTAGAGATAAACTATGTAAAGGTATTATAACCACATGCAATTTAGCACTTATGGATTTTCATTTAGGTGCGGAAACTGACTTTTATCAACAAGTGATAATATATAATTTCATTGTTACCAGCCAGCCCGAAAAAAATATATAATAAATAAAAGTGATAGTCTTGATAAAAGTTAAATTACCAAAATTAGCAATAGATTTGATAATTATCAATTGTTTTTATAAATCCTCAGATAATGCTAATTTCACACGGGCCCTTTTCTATGAAACATTTGCTAGAAATAGTTATCAATAAAAGTGATAGTTTTGATGTAACTAAAATTATAACTGTTAGCAATAGTTTTGATAATTATCAATATTATCTGATATTATCAGATGAACATTTGTCCTAACTTTCTTGATTTAGTGAAAATATGACGATTAGCAAGAGTTTTGATAATTATCTTTATTATCTATTTTAACTTGGGCAACATTTGCCACGACCACAAAAAATGTTAGTGATAAAAAAGTGCTGGTCTTTATAGGAATAAGCGAAACTTGTGGCAACTTTTGATAAAAGCTACCATTCAAATGACATGGGGCTGGAAAAATTAGCAAATAAAAGTGACTTTCCGCACCTACCTCCATATTTCCCTGCCATTAAGAGTCGACCCTTTTAATGGAATGATAAATAATTCTGATATAGTAACAAAACAAAAAAATGAATGGTTTTATATTGGTCATTTTACAAAAATATAATTCAACACTACGCCATATGTTTTTTTCATTTTCATGAAATATATACTGAAGGATTTAAACTACTGACTGCAAACTTCTATGATATTTTCATTAAAGGAACATTTTATATCAATTGGAATTCACATCTGTCCTTACAAATTGATAGTTGTGGAAAAAAGTAAGTAAATTTAATCAATTGTTTAACCATTTTACCCCCTCTCCAAATTAAATTGAGTTAAGGTTGGTTGTCCAGCCCCGGGGTTCAACATTATAACATGAGGAGCTTCACTTTTCAAAATATACAGTCAACATTTGTAAGGGAAACAACAAAGATATTTAGGTGGTGTGCAGATGAGTGTTAGGTAGATTGTCGGCTAGATTGTCCCCATTGAAAAGAATGTGAAGGATAATTTAAGTTTGACAAATTATGCAAATATTATACAAGTGTGGTCATACTAAAATTATAAAGCATGTCAATTTTAGATTTTAGAGATAAAGTATGAGAGCCTTGTAATTCAGCTCTTCCAGATTTACTCTGCCTTAAACTTACAATGGAATGCTATTGATTCTGATATATTTACAAAAAATGACGTAACTTCATAATTTTCATCAACAATAGAATTCAGCTATATCTAGTTCTTTTATTTTTTACAAATCACAGCTTAAAACTAATGATTGCAAACTCCTCCAACATAATCATTTAATAGGGAAAATTCTATATCAATTGGGATACACATATACCCATACCAACTGCAAGTTGTGGAAAAGTTTGTAATTAATTTTTTAGCATTGTTTACCCCCACCTTTCAACATTAAGCTGTCTCGAGGCTGTTTTGGGTCATGTAAAGTTATGAAATCAGAGCTTCATTGTTTGTGATAATTGTTACTTTGACAAAATTATATAAAATTTTAAAGGGATACTAAGATACAATAGTTGATGGTGTCAGGTACAGATTGTATCACTTGATAAGGTTTTATGATTCTATTAGGCATGCATCTTGGGTGGGTTGGATCACTCAGTACCATCCTTTTACTTAACCCTTTATACTCCAGTTTGAAGCCACTTTTTAGTCATTCTTCTATCAAAAAACCTAAACAGTGGCCTTTGTATCAGTCCTCCTTTTAGTCATTTAAGCCACACAATGACTAAACAATGGATAAGGCCACAGAGTCCACTAAATTGGAGCCAGCACACCTTTTAGAACATGCCCTATACAATGTCAAATATTTCATGAGAAATAGTCCTCCGTGATGCATGTTTGTCAAAGTGCAAGTGAAAAGGTCATGTGAAATGAGGGGTCAATGATCATGAATTTGATAGTTATGACTTAGTCGCAAAACAAAAAATTATGAAATTGGCAAACTCATACAAAACAGTCACATTCAGATTTCAGATGTCCATAAATGTTGCGCAGCAGAATAATAGCGTGTAGTTATTAGTTGTGTTGGATGTTAGTATATCAGCTAGAAAGCTTCACAATATAACAGCGTGGCATGTAACGGTTACTATGGCAATATTGATGACATCACAGTTGGCATGCGGGAACTACCTTCATCAGCAAAAGGGACATCATCATGATCGGTCTTTAACGCCATTTCGTAATTTGTGATCGTTTTCCGTGATCGTTCTTCAAATAAATTTATCTGCTCAATCTCTCTGATAGTTTCGTCGACTGATGTCCGTTTAACTTCAGTTAATGTCATCTCAGGTTCCTGTTTCACCAAATGCACAACAGTCCCATCATTCTTACCCTCTGATAGTTTACTCAAGTTCTGAAGGAATTTCCTCTGGGATTTTGGTGACGGCTGGGGTGGGATTTTAACAGGGGCTCTCCTTTGAGAGCTGGGCGAGGGAGCAGGGGAGATTTTAACTGATTTTCTTTGGGTGCCAGGGGAAGCAAATGTTCGTTTTTGGGACCCTGGGGAAACGCCACCCCGCAAGTCAATCTTTTCAGGGGGTATATCTGATTTAATATTCTGTTCCACAAGTTCATCCATTGTTTTATCCATATTCTTGTCAACACTCTCTTGGCGCTCTATCGCCAATCTTGCCTGTTGACGTTCAAATAATGACGCCCCTTTAGATTTTCCGCTTTCATCAGTCATTTTTCCTTTAGGCTGGGTAGTACTTGTTATAACTTTAACTCCTTTATTTGAAAATTGTTGGTCATTAAAAAATGCCTCCCTCATAGATGAGGTAGGGCTTAGAATTATTGATCCTTTTGATTTATAAGAGGGTGAGGCAGGTTCTTGGAACAGCTTGCGTGAGGGTGAATCGGGTAGATGGAACGGCCTCCGAGAGATATCAGGACTGTGAGTAGCCGCTAAAACAAACATGTCTACCTAGTTATATGGGCACACACAAGCTACGTACACACCTTATATGGCATACATGATCTAATATGGCAAACAAATTATATGAAGAAGAAAACATTCAAATGATGACATTGTCAAGATTTGACGTGAAATAAAATGATGCAAACTAATAACGAAAAAAAAATTGGATTGAGGATTATCATGAAAAAACTAGTCAATGTAAAATGCCCAATATGTAGTTTCTCTCCAAAAAATAGATTAGGCAGAACATCTTTATCTCCACAAATGCTAAGGATATGTTTAGAGTGTAAACAGGTTTCTTGAAGTATTACAGAAGAAGAGAGAATCTACTGTACATGATAAATTTAACCAGATCTTCCGCTGATATCATGAACTCTAAAAATATACTGCACTTAAGACCCAAAGGATGAATCATAACATTCGGCTTATTTTAGAGAAAAATAGACAGAAATAAGATGAAACAGAAAAGATGAATCCTTTAAATTCCAATTATATTGATAATAATAAACAATATATAAATTATTTATACTTAATCCATCTGCCTTTTAATTTTCAATATTCTATTATAATATGATCCAATGTCATTTAATAAAGTTTAATAATGAAATTACAAAATTAAAATATTTCAACCGATTAAATTTAATCAAGGTACCCCATGAACTGAGTATAATCCATGCGTAACTGAAATTACCGTATCATATTAAACTTTTTATTCATTATTTATTTCTATTTATTTTCTGTTGAAATAATAATCATAACAAAATATAAATATTTACCTATAGCTAAGCCAAATACATTCCAATTATAAACAACACTAAGCAACTTTCAGCGAAACTTCAAACAAAATCTTCCGGAATTTGTAACATTAAACGAAAAAACAACCAAGCATGAAATAGTAACACAGTTGCATGCTGGGAAAGATCTGAAACTGAGGCCAGCAGACGTAAGATATTTTACAGGATGCCTTTCATAAGGTATGAACACAACCAGTATGTGACATAAAATTGATAACATACATACAAGAGAGTACCTTATGTAAGGTAAACAGACAAGAATCATTGAGTTCAGGGTAAAACAGAGATAATTGATTGCATAATGTTTTGAACAGTTCACGAGCCAAGGTTGCAACAAATACGTATTTCCCCGATAGGTTTAGAGGTCAATATTTTCCGATTCATCTAAAAATACAATCTGGGGCACAGATCCATATATCACTGTTGTTGAACAATGTAAATAAATGCAGTAATAGCTCAATTTGAGCCAATTTTTGAAGATGTGCATTTAACAAAAATAAGGTACATTTTATCAATTCCATGGTTTTATAAAAAACTCCCATTTCAATCATTATCAGATGTTTTCTCTTGGCATAGATATCAACAGTTGAATTAACATTACTAAATCTAAAACCCTTCGACTCATGTGAGGCTTCTATTTCATTTAAATGCCAAAGGTAATGACCATTGCAGATACGGCAGGTTAAATAGAATCTAAACATCATTAGCAATCTCGTAAAAAGGTAAAGATCGCTAAACATGACCTGGTTTTCTATTTCAGTGGTTGTTTACATTTTTAGCTAGAAAAATAGGTTAAAGGCCCTCGCTTATCTCCTGCATTTTACCATAGCATCAAAGAATATATTGAGAAACAGAAAACATAATTTCATAATGAAATCTGATAGAACAAGAGTTCTGGGTTTACTTTGAGACAGATTACTACCATACGACTGCCATGGACAGACAATAAGCTCAACAAAGCCAACTGTGAACAATGCTTGGGTCATGACTGGTGCCAAAGGCTTTAAGGGCAAGTGTAGAACAGCATGAAGGCTATATGAACATCCTAATGATGAGATACCCCAAGATATAAGTAATCTAGATGAGTTATAATTATGTCTATGGTATGCTAAATATGATATGCTTCATAAATATTACAGGTGGCTTTATGCATGTTTATAAAACAGAAAGTCAAGGACTAACTGGTCAAATCATACAAGGGAACACAAAAACATGAACTCACATTTTTTTAACATTTGAGCACTCAAAGCAAGCGATGTATGAAAGATAGAGATCATGAAATTTCATGATCATGAAAAGACAATCAAATGAATATGCCCTTGTACTTGATGGTAACTGTATTCAAAGGTTCACATGACATTTTACAAAAAAAGGTATATATTATAAGGTAAACATTCTCCTAGGGAAGAACTTCTAGAATATTCTACAGTAAAACAAACATGAATATTATAAACAACAGTAGAAAGAAGCTTTGGAAATAATGAACATTATGATTATGCCGAGGGGTCTTAGGCATGCATGTTACCCCGTATAGATAGTGGTTTGTGTGATGTTGGTGGAGAAGGGGTCCAAAATCTAGATTTACTCGAAGATGATGTGTAAGACTCTCTTCGGTGATATTCTAAATTAGAAAATATCAAATACATGTACTCTATAATTATATATTTATATGATCTCTCAGGTAATCTAGGCTAAAAAAAAAGAAATAATCCTTGGAAAATAATATAGTGTTTTACAAACAAAGGTGCTATCTTTTTCATTGAATGGCAAAAATTTTCACAAAAATGATGATTTCTGAACACAGCAAGTGTCTTCAAAACAGACTGATATAGCAGAACAAAAAATCATTAAAATAAAATCAATCATAAGATGATTTTTAACCCTAAACAACCTGTTATGAGAATCCAACAACATTGAGAACCTCAGGTGAACCACTGACATTCAATGTACGACCTGAAAACATGTGCTTGCTAGAAACCTTGAAAATAGTCTTCTACATGGCCCCAGGATAACAACCAATGATGTAATTCACCTATATGTAAGTGAATAAAGTGATCCCATAGTGGAAATTGATTGGGCTTGCAATAGTCTGCATATTCAAAACATGTTAAAAATTGTCTGATCAAAAAACTGCTCTAACATAATTTTATATGATGGCATAAAAGCTGAAACATCCTCATAAAAAATAAGTAACGATTTAAAACGTATACCCTTCTAATGAAATTTGATATGAAGCCTTCTAATTATCTGTTATTTCTCAATAATGTGAAAAATCATAAGAAACCTTATTTGTAAACCAGAATAAGAAAAAGTCCTTAAGTAACTGAACATTCTTGACTTGAAAAACAGGTGAAGATTCAAGAAGGGATCATGAGAGATCAAAGAGATCAAGATGCAGGATTCAATCCAAAGATCATGGCAACATACAACATATGCATTAATGATGGTCATTCCCTTAATGATACTATAAGTTTAAACTTCTTACCTAAGCTGCGATTTTCTATTCTATTTGTTTTAATTACTGAAATATCTAGTCTTGTACCAAGTCCTCAGACTTCACCCCCTCCCGCATTTTACCACAAAACTTGGGAGTGGAGGTCAGGAAATAAGTACAAGACTACCAAGTATTGCATTGTTTTTCAAGAAATGACAAATGGTGATTCATACAGATTTTCTAACAAGCAAAGCTGTGATAAAAAACACCCTGTGCCACTGCATACAACAAAAGATATACACTTTAAGAAAAATTGAAATCCTTGCATAAATTTTTTTAAAAATAAACAATGATACAGATCATAGGATGATCCGATAGAATGATAAATAAATCTAAAAATAATGAATAACATACCTTTTTTAGCATTGAGTGTAATGTTCATAGATGGCGGTGTATTCATAGATGGCGCTGTATTAACAGATGGCGCTGTATATGACTGAGAAGACTGGAAAGATGGCGTGATAGATAGTGGTGTTGTATTTACAGATGATGCATTATGTACAATAGGTGGCGTATTGAGCTTAGTAAAAGTGGGCCCCTTAGAAGATGGACTCAGCACTGAAGGCCCCTGAGGTGATGTACCAAACGAGACAGGTTTGTATTCCACTTTTCTGGACTCACCTGAAATTGAAGAAGGAAATGCATGTTGATCGCATACGGGAACGAAGTAATCATATTGTACTCTTGCATCAAGCCCCAGTGTTACCCAACCCCCAATTCTCTTGTAATAAGATTGGGGGGGAGAGGGGGGGGGGTCAAAGACTTGATGTAAGACTCACAACATTATATCATTTCCTGTAATGACAGCAATTCAATGTAAAATATACTATGAGGTTATGGTGACATTATTACTGGCACGATATTGAACAATGAAAGCATTAATTGATCTGATCCAAAAAGCTGTGGATGTAGATAATGATGATTTAATGAAACAATGTAACTTTCCAATATATTCAAGCGTTAAAAGCCTAATATTATTTCAGTCCACCAATTCAAAGTTATTTTAGCGAAACATAATGTCAATTGTTCTCACATAACTGACTTGTACATGAGCAAGAACTAAAAGGTTTCTAAAATTATAAAAATCGAGAAATGCACTTTTCAGTTTTATTTTCAACATTTGGTAAATATGCACACACATTGTTGGTTTTAATATCACAAAACCTGCTGTTAAATAAATTGTGTCTATAAAGTGAAATTAAAATAAAAGTGAGTGTGTTAGCTATAGATTATATTATTATTTCTCAAATATTACTTTTCCTTGTCACACAATACGGATCAAAATAAGTCTTATTTTGCAAAATTAGCAATCATTAGTCCACAAAAACTAATTCATTACATTACTTATCAAATACCTTAACCAGAACAACGGCAACGCCAAAGCGTAGCGAATCCCATCGAACATTTTTCAAAAGGGGCACCTTCTACCAAAAGTGTCATTAGACAGTGTGCCATGCTTATAATATTCACATACTAAATATGAACAAAATCGCTCTACTACTTTTCGAGTTATAGTAAAATACGCCTTCTACTAAAAGTCTCATTAGACAGTGTGCCATGCTTATAGTATTCACATACCAAATATGAACAAAATCGCTCCACTACTTTTCGAGTTTAGTAAAATACGTTAAAATGGCGGCCATTTTGCGGCCATTTTGAAAAATGGCCGCCTTCTACCAAAAGTGTCATTAGACAGTATGCCATGCTTATACGTATTCACGTACCAAATATGAACAAAATCGCTCCACTACTTTTCGAGTTATAGTAAAATAAGTTAAAATGGCAGCCATTTTTCAAAATGTCCGCCATTTTTCAAAATGGCCGCCTTCTACCAAAAGTGTCATTAGACAGTGTGCCATGCTTATAGTATTCACATACCAAATATGAACAAAATCGCTCCACTACTTTTCGAGTTACAGCAAAAATCGTAAAATAACGAGAAAAGGCCGCCTTTTTTCAAGATGGCTGCCATGTGCTTTTTTAATATCTACATTTCTAGCTTTATTAATGTCCTATATAATTTTTTTTACATTTAAAACATACTGCTATTACAGTTTTACATATTGCACCTAAATTACTGTAAAATCGGCACTAAAATGGCCACCATTTTTAAATGAGCGGCCATTTTGAAAATCCGCTTTCGAGCAGAACTTCTACCCCCATAGGGTATATGTATACAAAATATTACTAAAATCGGGCCAACGGTATTTGAATTATTGCCCGGACGGACGGACGGACGGACGGACGTACGGACGGACGGACGTACGTACGGACGGACGGACATACGTACGGACGGACGGACGTACGTACGTACGGACGGACGGACGGACGGAGGCGTTCCCTATATCCCTCCGAACTTCGTTCGATGGGATAATTATTACTCTTTTATATTACTTCAAAACACATTTTAGACAAAACACAAAATGCATGCCTTATACCTCCGAGTATTAGTACTAATGCTAAATAATGGCCAGAACATAACATATCTGAGTTAGAAACATCCATCGAGGCATTCACATTTCCTGATAAATGTTACATTTTGTAAGTAATGTAAGTATACAGTGTGAGCCAAAAAAGGATGAAACATTGTTTCCACTTATTACTTTTTTGGCCCACCCTGTGGTCTTGCATCAAGTCCTGGTACAGTACATTTCCTATGACACAAACATCCATGACAAAATGTTACACGAGAAAATAGCTGGGAAACTCAAAAACTTGATGCAAGACTATTAAGACACACAGACAGATTATGATGATGTCACAGCAGACGTAAAAAGACAAGCAGACGGCACTGACCAAAAGGCGACCAGACTTTACTTGAAGCGACACCTATTGGCATATTTTCTGAAGCTGATTTTTGCGGCGTATATATTTTGGAAGGCGAAAAATGAGAGCTGTTCTGTGATTGGTTGACAGATGGGTTAAACATGGCGTTGCTAGGGGTTACAGATGACATGGAGGCTTCACCTAAAGGCAAGACACACATCAACATTCATCATCTTAGACAATACATGTATATATAATAATTACTCCAAGCACGTGAACAGGACAAAAAATACATAGATGTTTTGACACATACACATTCAGCACATTACATATATCATTATACAAATGCATTTCAATTCATATAATAACTCCACCTAAAAATCAAAACAGAATCAAGATGTTTATTTTAAGCATTTTTATTAATTACATACAAGGGTGGTATCGTAGCAAACAGGGCATGGTAATCATGCAAGCCATTGCGAGGCTTTCACTCCCTCATATCCCATAATTCATTTCTGTTGTTAGGGTTACATCCCATAATCCCATACTACTTTCCCAACTGGTGTTAGTAGCCCATTTACCTTTATGGATCGATTTGAGTATTTATGTTTCCAAGAATATAACCAGAGTTATTCTCCCCTTTTTACTTAGAGCTGGATTAGCAAAATGATTCATGCAAGTTATATTTTGAGAGTGAAACAGCAATCAATAAATATTCAGGGTTGATATAACATCACTTAAACAAGTAAAAACATTTAAGATTCATGAAATATTTAAATATTCACATATTTGATGTTTTTACTGTTTGAGTATATTACATTGCATGTTGGTAGGAGGGACACAGCTAGGACCCAAGCCATCATTTAGGGGCCACCATAGATTCTTAGCGAAACCTAATTATTTCAACATTAACCTGAATTTTTTGTAATCTTACTGAGCGCTTTTCAAACCATGCCATTTAATTATTTTACAAGAATGTTTAGTCCAAAAATATTTTCGAAAAAAGTTAGGTCCCGTAAGATCAAATGGTTGGCCCCCTTTCTCAGGGCATACATTCGGATAAACAAAACAACATACTAGGTGGCGGGATATGCCTAAAGTTGGAGCTCTGTCCGAGGGTTGGACTCAAGGGACTCGATAGTATTAGTGTTGTACTTGTACATTTTCTTTCACACTTCTTTTCCCCTGTTATGTTTAAAACAAAAGCTAGATAAAACAGAACGATAAAGTTCATGGTTATATGTACATCAAGATTATAGTGATAATATGGGTGTTTTGTTCCTGATTAATTTTTCTAGGAACTTATGGAATGAAACATTTCATAAATGATTCATCAATTGTTCAATCATTTATATGCACCAATTTTCTAATTGAACATTTGAGACTGTGTTAGGCTGTATTGTCCTATTGCTTCAAATGGAAGACAGAGTGTCTCTTGAATTACTTGCTGGGGACAATCTTGATGCAAATATACACAAAATAAAATAAGAGTTGGTTAGAAAGCTAGATAACAGAGTATAATAAAATACATTTCACATGATTTTCACTGTTCCAAGTATAAAGAATATATATAACATCAGGAGTTGGATCTATATTTATATTTTGTACCTCTGATGAAATACATGACTTCTGTTAATTTGTTACACTTTGCAATAGTTCAACATAGACGGCAAGCACTCATCTTTAAGTTAACATATTTCTACGATTAAAAATTTAAGCATTTTCTGCCTATCACATTATTTCCTAACAATAATTTACATTCATATTCTAATGAAGGCCTATGGAAGCTCTGGAGAAATTCTGGATCACATTCAATATGAAAATAATAATTACATAATTAAAAGTTATAATCATCATAAACCTTTATATTGTTGGATAATCAATACATATCTGGGATAGTCCATTAAGTTGCACGAATTATTTAATCCTATTATATAAGAAAGTAGAAATAGATGAACTCTGCATTATTATCAATTATTGAATACTCATCAAATCGATGTCTACAGAATCTGAGATTTTCAAATGGTCATGATTTCTGATTTTGTTGATTTCTACATTTCAATAAGATGTAGAAATAGTAAAACAGTTGATTTTATACAGGTGTGAATATATTTGTTGAATAAAATTTGATTTTATAAAAAAAACATATGGTAACAGAATGTAATGCAAAATGATGAAAGCTTACTAAATGTTTGGTAAAAAGAAATAAAATTGAAATTATGACCACAATAATGACAAGACATATAAGAACAAAGCACTGTATATGACTAATGTAATCATGTTATGATACAATATGTCAATAAAAGTTATATATATATATGTATAACTGAGAGTGGGGTGAAATAAAATGTCTGTGAGGAACATTTACATTTACAAGATCTATCTATGCTTAAATATTAGAGCGAGGTGTGGCTCTATCCTTACCTTCATGATAACATCTGTGGTTAGCGAAATAAAACTCAATGTCAAACTTTTTACATGAATACAATCATGCAATTTTCTCTGAGTTTATCCTATTAACACTTATATATTCTTAATCCTATATATTAGGTAAGGTACACAAGAAAATATTATCAAATTAGGAATTTTAATCGATCTGATGACAAGATATTCTTTAAGATTTTTTTCAAAATATCAAATCTCTACAGATAAATACCTACTTATTCATAAAGGAATAATACCAAAAATTGCTTCAAACAAAAAAATAGTTTATACCTTTTGATTACTAATTAAAAACTTCCAAAAATGCTTAGTTTGCCATGTAAAACATCTCAGTATACCTCCATTGTGAAATTCATATCCAAATGTGTTATGTAGCTAAAGTCCAAGAATCCAAAAATGACAAATTTTACAAAACATTTCCTAAGAACATTATAGAGTACCCTGGATCTTGATTCATATGCCACAAAAAGCTCAAACAGAGAAGATAGTTCAACAAACACTGCAACCACAGCATTGCGTGGGTAAAAACATAGCAAGGTCCATGTACGGTGATAAGATTATGGTAAAAATATATTTAACTTGAATTTATGGTGTTTCTAATCGCACTGAGGCATGGATGCTACTTGAAACCACTAACATAGTCCCATTTTTGTTACAATTCACGTTTTACTAATTGTCTCGTTCCCATAGAACGTAAGTGAATCAGCCACTTGCGTATATCTTAAAATAAATGAACTTGAGAATCTTTTAGTTCATGTATACTTATAGTATCATTTTCTGTGGTAAATTATAAGTATGTACTCTTATGCTTTTTACTATCTGTATATGGTTCATTTATTAGGTTTGTGCATTTCGGATTTCCAAGGTCAGGTGGGAAGTTTCAGAGAATAAAACTGGAGAATTAGGTTCATGTACATTCTATGACTATAATTCTAAAGTACAAAATAAGATTGGTTAGTAAGTTAAATACACACTCTGGGCAGGGACTGCTCTCAGTTAGAATATATATTTACCTACAAAATGTGAATAAATGTTCATTAAAGGTAAAGCATGTTATTTTGCTTCCACAAGAACTTGTGAGATGGTCAGTTTTATTTTACATGTTATAAATGCCAAATCATATCAATAAACAAAGTTCTGAAACAGTAAAGTCCATAAAGTAGGAAAGACGTAAATAAAGTTCAAATCGTAACTTGTAACATATACAGTCAATTTGGGAAAAAAATGATCATGTAAATCGATATATCATCACCTTAAGTTAATTTACATCCACAATATTTAGTTACATAGCTCATTAACTCACCTTCGTTATTGTTTGAGACAAAACTGTGTTTTATATCTCCATTAACTTGGCCATTCATACTTGAATCACCACTGGAAATAAACAAGAGAAAATGAGGTCAAACTGAAATACTGAAATATACAGGGTGTCTACTGCAATATAAATGCCACTACCCCTTATTTTTCATAAATTAATGGGGGGGAGTAAACGACATTGTTGTTTTCTGTATTAAACCAACCACATTTTAGTCAAGGGGGATTATAGTAGACACCCTGTACTAGTCATGCATCAATTAATGATAATTATGATGATTTTAAATATCTATATGGGATCAAGACAAGGGATGAAGTGAATACACTGTATCAATGAAAATATTATCTAATACTTATTAGGTGACAATTATTAAAGTAAGACTTGAAGTCAATGATTTGATATACAGGGTGCCCAAAAATAGATTTACGGTTACTTAACAATCCATCTGTAAATTGTAACTGTAAACCAACTTCTAGACCACCCAGTATATAAGATGCACCTTTTTCAATGTTCTTTCTTTATTTTTTCATAATTTTCACACCCAGATAACAGAGTTTCTTTGTTTTTTGAGTGATAAGAACTTTTTGATAAGCTACCAACAAGACGATTGATTCAATAGAAAAAGGAGCTTATTAAGCAATATTGTAGGAGGGTTATCAAAGATCATGAGAACAAACCGGTGGTTGTAAGTGATTTTAGAAAAAACTTTTATACCAATTGTCATTAGTGTCAAATTGACATTGCAAGTGTGACTTGATTCTACTTAATTGTGATTAAGTATGAAACATTAATGTTCAACATTCAAACGGACATCCTATAAATGTGATATGGTGCCTGAATTCCCTGGGAGTCCATTTAAGTTTATTTTTGTCATTAACTATAATGGGTGTAGCTAGACACATTTTCACATTTCACATTTTCCTCAAAAGCTTTATTTTGAGATTTAATTAGATTTATTTTGAGTTCAGTTGATTTCTTGAACTTTGAAGAAAATATTCAATCAACTTTTAATATGATATACTAGATGTATTTTTCTACACATTACTTTGGGTGATAGTAATATTGTACCATGCATCTAATGAAATATACTGAAACAAGGGGATGCAAATCTCACATATGGAATACCAAAATAGTTTAATCTTGGCTTCTGTTCCATATTAATGTCTACATCTCTTTAAAGAGCATCATTCTATGATCCCAATATAGACATTGTGTATGCCCCAGTTTCCTGTTTTGAACATGGAATCTAACATCAAAACCTTCATTTACAAAAGTTCTGAATATTTCACCACAGGTTTTCTTTATTTTCAAAGGTGCTCATAAAGAAACAACGATTCTACAAAAAAATCCCTAACAAATTACCTAATAATGAAATATATTTGTAAGATCAATAGCTCATTTGATGTCAAAATTTTGTAGAATCATTTTGACTGTTTATGCAGAGGTATCTTGCGTAAGACTCCTTCAAACCATTCATTTAGGTCACACTAACTCCAGGAAAGTAATGAAAATGAAATGAGATTTATAGTATATGCTTCTATGTAATAAAACCTGGCAACAATCATAGAATTTGGAATAGTTTATTGAAACAAGAATAGATTTCTCAATCAAAGCCTGGCAACACATGGTTTCCCTAGCAAGAAAAATGAATATGTTGGTCTTAAAACATATGGAAATTGAGCAATATGGGAAAACAGATGGAAATATCACAAAACTTTGAAAAGTGACCACCTACCTATTCTTCTGGCCCTCAGGCCTCCTTGACTTCTACTAATGCGATCATTAGTTCCAACCTCGCGATCCACAGTTCTCACAAAGCGAATATCGATTCTTTAGTCCTCAACCATATAGAAATATGTTCGGGAGAGGTGAACTGGTGGTTCGCGACTAAAGAATCAATATTCGCGTTGCGAGAGCCATGGTTCCTGTTGAAGGAACATAGTTCACAAGGTCAGAACTGATGACCAAGTTAGTTGAAGACTAGGAGGCCTGCCTAGGTGTTCACTGTACAGAAATTCATGCGCTTACCTTTTTAATTCTAGGACCAGTTTTTGATTGGCACTTTTAATGAGATCTAATGCATTTTTGCATTGGTAGCCTTGTATACTTTGTCCGTTAATACTTTCTACGATATCACCCAGTTTCACACCCTCGTTGCAGGCCTTGCTATTTGGGTTGAGCTGAAAATAGAAAAAATTAATCTCAAATAAGAATAATATTATCTTAAGTATTATACAATACAGTCTATTATTAGAGAATATTGTAAAATCTTAGACTAGTTCTTTGTACTGATTAAAATATAATTTCGTGATATGAAACTAAAGTCAATAAAATAACTAATTGCTCAATTTCTATTTATATAGTACTAGATATCGACTATGGCATATTTTGGAGCTAAAAGAACAACAACGTCACATTGTTATTATATTCCCCAATGAGTCAGAAACAATGACAATCTACTGCTTATAATTCAAGCAATATTTCTAATAGACTCATTCATATCAACTGGGAATTGTGCAAGTTCATTTCTACCAATTTACAATAAAGTTCCTCAATATTATTATAACCTTCATAAAAAGCACAGAAACGATTCCAATAATATGAGTCTGTACAATCAATCTCTCTTATTTATTTACTAAATCTTCTTCAAACCTAAAGACTATCATAAAACTGTTTATATTGAAACCGACCATATGTATGAGATGATCAATGGAGCCCTACTAGGTCCCAAACTGCACTTAAGTTGGGTCAATAAACAGTAAAATAAGTAATATAAAATGAGCTTCTAGTCTTTCTATTATCTAGTTCCTCACCATGTATAAAAAGCACATTGGTATAAGGGAGATATTCTCTACCATTTTTCAGATGAGGTAACTAAGTTATGCACCAAGATGATTTTATAGAACATGTTACATAAACCTTATGAATCAAGATCTATAACTTGTAGTTACAAGCTCTTTCATACTGACCAGAAATGACCTAATAGCCAACTTTGGCCAGTAAAGTGGTGAAATAAGGAGAATTCCAAGCTGGCAAAATGATGCATGACCTTAGTATATACCTATATATTCATATTCTCTTGATTGGTTTTGGTCAAAAACAATTCTTATTACCAAGATTTAGAGCTTTGAACTCATAGCATGGAAAGATGGCTGCCAGATGGTGCACACCAAGTAAACTTGTATATCATGCACAAACATGAGCAAATAAAGTCATCCATTCAATGAGTTTTGTATATAAATTATCTTCAGTTAGTTCACTACTGCAGCAGTCATTCACATCTTACCTTGTACATTTTCAAGATTTCTCATCCATAGTATTCATTCTCTTTTCCTTTTTATGTACCACACTTTGAGCATAGATAACTTATCAAAGAATTCCCTTTAATGTTTAATGCCAGTGGTAAATGTTTCCTTCCTACTTCATCTTAAACCATCTTCATAATTTTTGAAAAACCTATCTAATACCGGTATTAGTGTATGTATGCATTGCATTCTATTGCAGAAGCTTCAAACATAATATATTCAGCATAGACCAAAAGTGTGTTCTGAGTGTTTACCCCTCAGGTCACATCTGGTAGAAATCAACTTGAACCACACAAATTCCAGGATTTAAAGAAACCCAAGTAAGCCTAAGATTAACTGGAACTGCATATCCTGAATAACTGTCATGCAACAGATAGTTTTTAAATCCTTTCTCTAATTAATGGCAGAGGTAATCCTCAGCAATACAATAGCTTCAAACAAACAGCCAATTAGCTAAAAAAAAGTCCCCATTATCATAGCTTGAACTTCTCCACCTCTAACTTCTTCTTCCCTCCAAGTTTCCTTCTCCTCAGCACCATGAATGAAATCCCCAGGATTAGCTGCAGTCATACCCAATACACCCCCCTGGGGATGCCCATGCATAGTAGTATTAATGAAGAGAGGCATGGTCTGTGTGCCCATTTTAATTTCCTTGTGACTGTTCATTAGATAGAGATTGTAATGGTAGTTCACAAAGTGCAACATTCAACAATGATAAGGAAGACCACAAATCTGCCTTTTTACATATACTGCTCCCCAGAGCAGCAAACCTGACTGAAACAGAGGAACCGACGGATGGATGGAAACAGAATGGCAGATGGGTTGTTTTTATAACTATTTACATTTTATTTGGTCAAATAACAATGTAGGTGTGTCATGTAGACCTAAGAGTAAGGAGAACTAAGCCCATTATGTTTCAATTTTTTCTATCTGTCCCATCCTATATAGGTTCCCATTTTCACCCATGTGATAATATGTAGTTTACACACAAATAAAAGCATATTAGTATGAGATGAACCATGAATGAAATGAAATGAACTGATATAAACAAGATAGACTCAACTGTCATTGATCTAAATTAGATTACAACAACTCTAAGGTGATTTACTGAGCTTCCTTTGAGGACAACTTGAGGTGAATCTCCAAGTCAGATACTTGACCTTGTTACCATGAAAACACTGGCATCATATTACCATACCAACCAATTAAACATAGCAACCCTTGTAGGTGTTACCATGGCATTTCAAAAACTCTTCTAAAGTAAAAGTTTTGTTTTAACCACTCAGATTTCCTGCTCAAATGTATTAATTACAGGGTGTCCATAGTTGAGTTAGGTATTCTACACTTTTCTATATATGGATGAAGCCATGAAAAGGTATCAACATCAATGTATTAAGTAATTCTAGCATTGCACTGAATGGGTAACAAAACAACAACCTAAATCGATGTAATGGAAATCCAAGTCATTTGTAGTAGAGCTAAATACCACAAAATGGCATGTTATTTCAGAAGAATTCTATCTATCAGGCTAAGCATGCAGTCTATTTGAGTAAAATGCCAAATTGTTCTTTGTAGACGGGTACAGTAGGTACTTGAATATGTATGAATCCTAATCTAAAATCCTAATCAATCCTTTTCACGATACAGTACAGTACATCAGTATTATTTTAACCTATTCCCTGAATTCAACAAGACACACAGTGATAAATATCGCACTTTGAAGAGCAAACTGGCCACCATGCAATTCACCCAGCATGGCCAAAACCTAATCAGACCTTGGCACTAGTCTGCTCTTGCATCTGTAAACATTTCAAGTTGACAAGGTTAGCGGTTTTCCTGCAATTTTGATGACAAGAATTTATTTGTAGTCTTGAACTTTGGGAAAATTTAGATAACATTGTTTGTGACCTAATTTGATGACCTTTGACCTTGAAAATTTTACTTTTTCAGACCTCAGTAGGTGTTTTGTAATTAAGCTGACCTAAATTTAAATCCAAAATATCAATTTAGAAAATCAACTTTTTGACCTTTTCAAGGCCACTGAAGGTCAACGAAAGGTCAAATCTGAAATCTAAGGTCAGATTTGAACTTCTGAGAACTTGTAGATGTTTTTAAAAAAAAAATGTGGTCAATTTGGAGCAAGTTGAAAAATTCAAAATGGCCGCCAAATTGAAAAATTCAAAATGGCCACCATGTAATTCAGCCAGCATACCCAAAACCTAATCAGATCTTGGCACTAGTCTGCTCTTGCATCTGTAAAAATTTCAAGTTGAACGGATAAGTGGTTTTCCTGGAATTTTGATGACAAGATTTGTTGAAAAATTCAAGATGGCCACCACGTAGTTTACCCAGCATGCCCTTAACCTAATCAGATCTTGGTACTAGTCTGCTATTGCATGTGTAAAAATTTCAAGTTGAACAGGTTAGTGGTTTTCTTGGAACTTTGATGACAAGAATTGATTTGTAGTCTCAAACTTTGAGAAACTTGGATAACATCATTTGTGACCTAGTTTAATGACCTTGACCTTCGACCTTGAAAATTTCACTTTTTCAGACCTCAGTAGGTGTTTTGTAATTAAGCTGACCTAAATTTAAATCCAAAATATCAATTTAGAAAATCAACTTTTTTGACCTTTTCAAGGTCACTGAAGGTGAACGAAAGGTCAAATCTGAAATCTAAGGTCAGATTTGAACTTCTGAGAACTTGTAGATGTTTTTTTAAAAAAAAGTTGGTCAATTTGGAGCAAGTTGAAAAATCCAAAATGGCCGCCAAATTGAAAAATTCAAAATGGCCACCATGTAATTCAGCCAGCATACCCAAAACCTAATCAGATCTTGGCAATAGTCTGCTCTTGCATCTGTAAAAATTTCAAGTTGAACGGATAAGTGGTTTTCCTGGAATTTTGATGACAAGATTTGTTGAAAAATTCAAGATAGCCGCCACCTAGTTTACCCAGCATGCCCTAAACTAATCAGATCTTGGCACTAGTCTGCTATTGCATGTGTAAAAATTTCAAGTTGAACAGGTTAGCGGTTTTCTTGGAATTTTGATGACAAGAATTGATTTGTAGTCTCAAACTTTGAGAAACTTGGATAACATCATTTGTGACCTAGTTTAATGACCTTGACCTTCGACCTTGAAAATTTCACTTTTTCAGACCTCAGTAGGTGTTTTGTAATTAAGCTGACCTAAATTTAAATCCAAAATATCAATTTAGAAAATCAATTTTTTTGACCTTTTCAAGGTCACTGAAGGTGAATGAAAGGTCAAATCTGAAATCTAAGGTCAGATTTGAACTTTTGAGAACTGGTAGATGTTTTTAAAAAAAAAATTTGGTCAATTTGGAGCAAGTTGAAAAATTCAAAATGGCCGCCAAATTGAAAAATTCAAAATGGCCACCATGTAATTCAGCCAGCATACCCAAAACCTAATCAGATCTTGGCAATAGTCTGCTCTTGCATCTGTAAAAATTTCAAGTTGAACGGATAAGTGGTTTTCCTGGAATTTTGATGACAAGATTTGTTGAAAAATTCAAAATGGCCGCCATGTAGTTTACCCAGCATGCCCTTAACCTAATCAGATCTTGGTACTAGTCTGCTCTTGCATCTGTAAAAATTTCAAGCTGAACAGGTAAGCAGTTATCCTGGAAATTTGATGACAAGATTTGGTTTATGTCCCACCCGCCCGCCCGCACGCCCGCACGCCCGTACGCCCAAACGCCCGCCCAACAGCACAAGACGACGACAATATAGCACTTTTTCAAAGTGCGATAAAAATACAAACAATATGAATTTTAGGGGAATGTGTCTAAAAATGATAAATAAGTGCTTTGTTTTCTACTTATGCTATTTTATATTTAAAGCTTAGAAATATT